ACAGACATATATATATATATATATATATATTAGAATAAAATAACTAAGTTCTATGTACCAAAAATATAACATCATATATGTACAGTCATCCAAAATAACATCACCCTAGTGTCGGTCAAGCATAACCAATAAGTATTTAAAAAGGTAGCTCTGACACAAGGACAAAACTCCTCAACACGCAGCGGTCACCTCAACTCCAAGCTAGCCCTGACTTGCTTCATACCAAGTATGACCATTGCAGTTCCACCACATGGAAACAGAAGGGTAAGCTAGAGTTCAAAAATCAATCATACAAGTATAGAACAATAATCTATACTACACAATCATCTAACTATCAATCATGTTCATAGAGTCGCACCATACACTCTATCCAATATTACTCATACATAAAATACAATCCACCAATCATAAAGCCAAACACCACACTCCATCATATTAACAATCATGCAATAAATGCATCTCATGACAGATATCAATGCATATCAATCATCTAATGCATCGTCATGCATACACCTAGGAGATCTCCCTAACAACAGAGCAGTATAAGTGACATCCCATCCTACCGAAACCACCCCAACTGTTTTCACGCCCAATGCGCCCGCTCGGTCACAGCTAAACAGGATATAATCATCACTCGAGTTTACTCGGATGATGTCACTTACATAATTGGAAGTCTAGATCCACCGTCAAGTATAGCACAGCTGGGTACAAGCTTACTACGACCTTGACATGCATTATCAAGTCAATTGTGGAGTTCGCCCACCGCTATCCCAAGGATCCACGCACTTTCCCGAGTACTTGGTTAAGGGAATAACCCTCGACCTCATACCCCGCTCCAATACTAGCTAAGGACTTAGAGGAGACTCACCCAACTCAGTGGCCTACCTGAGCACCACTCTCATATATTAGTGGTCTATCCAAGCACCACTCTCAAGAGACTCTATGTGAGCTCTTCCAGTTCGAAAATATTTTTCCTCTCCTCAAGTCCTAGGCTAGACTCATGCCATAAGGCATCACATGCAATTATGCATCACACATCATACATGGTCTGCCCACCATCATGATCAACAATCATACACAGGTCATAAGACATCACATGCAATAATGCATCATACATCATACATGGTCTACCCACCATCATGATCAACAATCATACTCGTATGAACATATATACTCATGTCATATCATATTTATACATTCATATATATCATTACCAAGCATACATATGAATCACACCTCAACATACATCATATATCATACATACATGATCTAAAACTTCAACTTTAAACATGCCGAAGCATCATTTCAACTATCACAATTAAACATGTTCTCGCCCTGTGCAGCCTGAGTGCGTTCGACCTAATCCCAGTCAGAGAGTTTCAAAACTCTCATCCAAACCAACAAATCCAGCCACATGCAAACACAAAACACAATGCATAGGCTCCATACAACTCAAAAATAAACTAAAATCTCACATGCATCCATCCGATGCATCAAAATCACCAAAAACTCCATTTTTCCAAAACCCCGAAAAATGAGCGAATTCTCCGATCCAACCATAGATCCTCGACTTTCATGCATCAATTGAGTTTCTAAACTCACATGCAACCTAAACAACAAACATTCTAGCTTCCCTTATCTGAAAATTGGCTCAAAATGGCCAAAAATTGAGGAGAAGTAGAATTTCCTTCCAAAGCTCAACCCGAAACTTCAATCCACCCAAAGCAAGCTTTCTAGTCTGAATTTCAAGAAAAGACAGAAGACATTAGTGATCTAGAGGAGAAAAAGAATCATACAGAGAAATTTGGGAGAGAAAGGAGTTCACAGACCCAGAGTCCTTCTCTCTAAAATTTCTCTAAAAAAAACTTCACTTTCTCCTCAACCACACAACTCCTATTTATAGAAGTTCAGGAGTGGCCAGAATGACCTGTTTCGAATCCGGAACGGCCCGTTCTGCACCCCTTCATCATGTGCAAAAATCACATGTAGAACGGCCCGTTCTGAAACCAAAACAGTTCGTTCTAGGACTCATCTAGAACGACCCGTTCTCCATCTAGAACGGCCCGTTCTAGGGTTTGGAACGGCGCGTTCTCAACTACAATTTATAGGTCAATTTAGTAGTTTATAACGACCCGTTCCAGTTTGGGAACGACCCGTTCTAAGCTACTAAATCACCCATACTAAACTTTTGGACCTTCTGAAATAACTTACTACGTTACACAATATATATTAAATTAAGGTAATTGAGATTTTATTAAGGTAAGGTATTTATATTAACTTAAATTAATTATAAAAATACGAATAGATATATTAATTTTTTCCCCAATTGTCTTGACTACTCCTTATGTATCCTATTTTTTTTTATTATCTTTTAACTCTATTATTAACTTTTTCACACAATTTACCGTTGATAATGATAATAGAAAATAAAATAATTATAATAACTATTATCAATAATGTATTGGTATTTGTTTTGTTATTTTTTTTTTGTCACTTCTATACATTTCATTTTATAATATATTTTTAATTATGTTATTAATATAAAAATATTTATTAATTTTGTCAATAATTAATTCTAAAATTTGACTCACCATTTTTAATAAAGTCTCCAACTTTCAATTACATTTTTTTTATTCAAAATGACTAAACTTAGTAATATCTAGACCAACAATTTGAATTTGTTAGGTTCTGATAATTAATGTATCAAAATAATTAGGCTAAAATCTTAATTTAGTCTCTTACAATATTAAAAAAATTTAATTTGGTCTCACTTTAATTTTTAGTTTCAATTTAGTCCCAACTTTGAAAAAGTGTTGCAACGTTAGCCTTCTGTCTAAATTTTTTAAACGATGTTTAAGAGCGTCCACGTGGAAAATAAATAAATTTGTAATAATCCAATTAATTTCCAATGTGAATTTCCAACGTGGAGGAAAGCATTCCTTTCCAAAGTCATGAGAAGAGGCATTCATGAGTGTGTATGGGTTAATTGTTAGAAGAAAAGGCGCACCATATTCACCTAAGTCTCGAGAAAAAGAAAGTACATTTTTAGGCCTTGAAAGAAGAAGAAGACTTGTTTGTTTGTGTTGAAGAAGAAGAAACCACGTTTTTATCATATTGACATCAAGGTAAGTGTTGGTTTCGTGTTTAATTGAAAGATCTTATTGGGATGCGTGTGGGGCTAGGGTTGAGAGTGAGTTTGGGGTACGAGTTTGGGTTTTTGGTTTCCCGTTTGGTTTTTTGATTTAGGGTTTGATTTTCATTTTTGTGTATTCCCAAACAATAGGTTGGTGGCATTTTGTGGTGTCAAGCCTGGGGTACCAATTTGGGTTTTTGGTTTTGCATTTTGGTTTTTTGGTTTAAGGTTTGATTTTCATTTTTGTGTGCTCCCAAACAAGGAGTTCATGGCATTTTGTGGTGTCTTTTGGTTATGCGAACTTTTGATGTTGTTATGTGATCCCAAAGAATATATGTTGTTGTGCATATATTATCCATGTATATATGCATAAGTTGGCCCACTGATACAGTGATACATAGATCCTAATTTATTTGCATATGTTGGCCCATTAATCTTCCTTATTTTTAACATTGTTGGTCCACTATTGTGTTGGTTGTTATGTATGCATATATTATGTTATGAATGGGTTATGAATGAGTTGTGAATATTTAATTTTTTTGTATTAATTAATTTTGTTTGTATTAAATTTTAAATAATTATTTTTTTATAATTGCAAAAATACATTACAATATGTTAATATTAAAATATGTGTGTTTCGAATTTTTATAGGAGTTAGTTTATATGGAGGAGTATTTTGAGGTAGTTGTCCATCATGGGGGAAGTTTGTGAATAGAGGAAAGTTAGATTATGTGGGTCATGATTTCACATGGTCATGTGACCCTGATAGATAGTCTTATTTTGAAATATTGGATATTTCAAGGGAAATGAGATATAGTGGATAAGATGTGGTATTTTGTGGGTGGGGTAGACTTTGAGAATGGGCTGAAACTGTTGTCTGATTAATAAAGGGGTCATGGAAATCATAAGGATAGCAAGAAAGTTTGACAATGTTAGATTATATGTTGAACATCCAACATCTGAAGCTGAAATTATAAAAAGTTTACCACCACCTGTTGTTGTAACAAATGATGGGCCGGTGCCTAATGATAGTGGGCTTGAAAATGATGGACTTATGACAGATGAGAGTGGGAAGGGGCATGTAGTTATTGATGATAGTGGGCCTGATCCTTTTGTTGATGATGAGATTGGGATAGAGGCTGATGTTGGTGGTGATTGTTGGGTTGGGTGTGCTGCTAATGATGTAAGTGTGCCATAGGATGGTGTTGGTGATGAATGTGGGGTTAGGGCTGAGAATGTGCCTGATATTGGTGGTGTTGTTGATGAGTGTGGGGCTAGGGTTGAGAGTGGGTATGGGACTGTTGGTGCTGATGAGAGTGTGCCTGAGTCTAGGATTGTTGATGTTGATGAGAGTGTGCTTGAGGCTATTGTGGGTAATGAAAGTGAGCCTACAAAGGGTGATGATGTTTGTGATAACAATCAAAGTGAGGATAGTTATTACAGTTATCCTTCAATACATTTGGGTGATACGAATGAAGAAGAAATTTTAGATATTAATTTATTTGAGATACCTGTTAAACCTAGACATAATGCTAATGTTGATAGGTTTGAAGGACCTTTGGAAGTAAATCAAGTTACTAATAGTGATGAGTTAGATATATTGAATGATTTTGAAATACTTGTGCTTGAACAAGTACCTGAAGAACAACCTAGTTGTAGTAGGAAGAAGAGAAGTAGGCCTAGGAAGAGTGTTGAGCCTATTGTAGACCCTACAGTTGAGTCTACTAATGCTTTTGATAATGAATATTTAGATGATGACTTGTTCAAAGGTGATAAGTTTGGAGGAGAAAAAAATGCATTCCGCGAGTAAGGGTATTTCTGATGAAGAATATGAATTGAAAGAATTACTAAGTGGGCTGGATGACACTAGTGATGAAGATGATACTAGAGGTTCAAGTATGTTTCCAAGTTTTAAGATGCCTAGTAATATGAAAGATTATAAGTGGGAAGTGGGGTTGTATTCTTTTAGTAGAGATCAATTTAAAGAGGCAATTACAACATATTCTGTTCATTCAGGGAGAAATTTAAAATTTACAAAAATGATAAAAGAAAAATCATGGTCATATGCAAAGAAGGATGTCCATGGGTAGCATATTATGGCAAAGCACCTTATGGAGAAAGTTGGCAATTAAGGAAGATTGTTGATAGACATACATGCAGTAGGTGGGTTTGTTGAGTTCAAAGTGGTTAAGTGGAAAACTTAAAACTTCAATTAGGGAGAATCCAAAACTGAAATTGAATGATATTAGAGAAAGAGTGCAGAGGAAGTGGAATGCTAGCATCTCTAAGGCCATGACATGTATGCCTAGGAAATATGCAAAAAGTTATGTTGAAGGGTCTTTTATAGAACAATTCAAGAGGATCTATGACTACAGTCGTGAGCTAATCAAATCTAAATCCAGGTTCTACAGTTGGGCTGGAGAGCAAGTTTTTGAGGTCAAGAATATCAACCTCATAGGAGATAAATATACTATAAACTTGCAAACCCAAGAATGCAGCTATAGAAAGTGGATGTTGACAAGGCTACCTTGCTACCATGCTATATTATGTATGAGGTCATGAATTTGGATCCAAAGGAGTTTGTGACAAACTATTACAAGAGGGCAACATATGAGGTTGTATATCAATCATTGATAAATCAAGTAAATGGACAACAACTATGGACAAAGACATGGTGCACTAATGTTCTTTCACCGCCATCAAAGAAAATGTTAGGACACCCTAAGAAAAGAAGAAATTTGGGTCATGGAAACTAAAAAAGGATAAAAGTCAATTGAAAAGAAGTGGATATAGGAGAAAGTGCAACAGGTGCAAAAATTTTGGCCATAACATATCTACTTGCAAGGAAGCACCTTAGCCCACCCAACGATCTCAACCAACCCAACCACCTCAGCCCACCCAACAATCTCAACCAAACCAACCACCTCAGCCCACCCAACCAACTCAGCCCACCCAACCAACTTAACCAACTCATATAACCCAACCAACTCAGCCCAAAAGTAGCATTTTGAAAGATTTCAAACTGAAGGTAGCATACACATTTAGAAAGGAACAATTGCAACATACACATTTAGTAATAAAATTTAATGACAGAACAATGAAAAGGAACAATTGCAACTTACACATTTAAAAAGGCATAACAAATACTTAATAGATACATCTAGATATATAAGAACAACTCTTTAAACTTAATACAAGATAAATTTAAAGTACTAAACAAGGATTTAAGTTGAACACCTAATAAACACATCTAGTTATTTCCCTTAAATAATAAAGGATTTTTCACTGCATCCCTAAGCCAATGCATCCTTTTCTCATCTAACCCCCATAAAGCAACAAACATTTCTCTTACCGGTTTGAACAACATCAAGTTTCAATATTGTATATGAAAGACGTCATCATTTTCTAATTCAAGTAATGTTTTAAGCTCATTCACCACTTCCCGAATTGATGCGGTTGTTACAACTTCATTACGTGACCTACATGTGTCTGCTAGCACACTAACTGCATCGACTATTCTTACAGAAGTAGTTATCTTCTTACTAAACTTTTTAACGTGATTGGTTTTTTTTTTCTTTTCTCCACTCTTTTGGCTACCAATCCCTTGGTTAATTGTTCCTTGTGAATCGTTGAAATTAATCCCCTCTAAAAGCATTTGTAGCACCAACACTTGCATCTTCACTATTACCCGAGCCTTCCTCTACGTCTAAACAAATTCCTTCTAAACTTGGACGATACACATCATTCATATGAACCCCAAGATTAGGAGGCAACAATCTAGATGAAGGACTCCATTCATACTCTCCATTAGCAACTACATCCTTAAAGTACAATTAAATTGTGAGCAAATGGAAGTCCCTTGTTTCTAAATTTTCCATATAGAGGATTTTCTTGCACATTCACAACTTATAATAAGATAAATACATTAAAGTAAAAGCTTACAATTCTTATATATATGAAATCAATTACAATAACACATACCAATTGCTTTCTCTCCCACCATTCATCATTTGCATCAACAATATTCTTCACATTGTCCCATCCAAGCCCAATTTCTTTACCAAATAATTTATACCATATCCTCCACTCTCTTATTAAATCATCAAACCTATTTTTAAACTTTGTATTTTCATAAACCTTCCTGTTAACTCCTTAAATTTGGTTGCAATTCCAATCCATCCTTTCTTAGTAAAACTAGTACCTAATAATTTGTTGTTAGTCACTTTTTCAAGCATGCTATGATAAAGCATTCAGTTGCTTTAACCCAACAAACTTTTCCTTTCTCAAAACCCATACTTCTACATTAAAAGGTTTAACAAAATATAACTTAGCAAATAATACAAAACTTATACCAAAGACCTCTTTCAAACCATCAAAATATAACTTAGCATTTAAATAGTTTCAAAATAGCATACTAATATTTTCACTTACAAATAGTAGCTAAAATTAACACTTAAAATAAACACACCATAATTGGCAGTGGTATTCAAGCCAAATAACACCAGTTCCTTAGCAAAAGATTTGATAGTTCTAAGTTCCAGGAGGGAGGAAATTTAGAGAAGAGAGTCAGATCTTTTATCATTCAGCTTCAACTTAAAACAGAATATCATGCTAGCAGTTAAATCTTTTATCTTAATCTCTGTCACATATCCATCAAATGCAACACATGTGGTCATGAAAGAAGAAGAAAAAAGTTGTTGAAAGCTAAACCTATAAATCATTAAAACATCACAAAAGCTATCAAAAGAAATCAATTTTAATGGTTACTTATCCTTTCTCGACCTTAACGCTACTTCAATTAAACTCTTTCAACATCTTTTGCAACAAATTACTAACCGATCAAAATGCCCAAGAAGTATGTAGATTGGAGAGAACACATGCAACTTAAATAAAAGTGACAACTTGGAGAGGTTGTTGGTTACCATTAAAGTAGAAAATAAATGCCCAATAAAATTTCAAGTTCAAAATAAGGACAACATATACACACGCAAGGAGAAAAGAAGCAAAATGGGTGAAACAAAAATTGATGAGAGGAATTTTCGTAGGATAGAACCTTAAACCCAAACAAAGATCAATCAGAACATTGATGAAAGAAATCAAATTAGATAAGATGATTCAGAGTATTTATTAATTAGGCAAAGAGATTTGAAATGAACATTGAAGTTTTACGAGAAAAAATAAGGAAAATCAAACACCCATTTACCAAAATCAATTTCTTTAGAATGTAAAAGCAATCTTCACTTAGTTTTGACCAAAATTAATTTTCATCGGTAATATTACATGAAGGGTCTTTCGGCAGACTGCTCATTTAACATTATAGTTAAATTATTCATCTAATTTCTAAAATTATCCCCATTCCAAGCTTTGGTTATAAAAAAATTTGCAAGTTTTGACCCTTACATAATTTTTTCTAGTAATTTATGACCGCCATGACGTTTTTGTAGTATTAATATGCATGTTTCAGATAAAAAAAATTATCATGATTAAGGACTAAAGCTTGTCATTTTCTCATATGGAGACTAAAACTAAAAATAAAAACAACACCTATGCTCAAGGTTATGAATATTGTACTATTCTCTTTAAATTACAAATATACAATTTATTTCATTTAATTTTACAAAGAAATGAAATTCGCACACTTCCCTTCTATCTTAAATTGAAATATAAGATTCAATCTATTTCACTTAACATCATTGAAGAATATTTTTTAGAAAGTTTTTTTTAATAAGACTTGAGTAAAATATCTTTAATTGATCAAGTTACTTTGTATTCGCTTGATGCAAAATACACCAGTTCTAAATCTTAATACGATGGTCTTGTTGAGGAAAGGTAACGATAGGAATACGATTATCCAGTAACTAATAAATCAGCTATCATTATTTTTAAATTATCCTTATATCATGACATTTTGTACTTGAAATCTACAAATCTTATCACTAGTACAACATCAAAGACACATCCCTTTCACCACACATGAAAATACGATTCTCAAGCAAATTCACAAAACAAATGAGAAGACTAACTCTAATCCCATTATTTGAAGACTACAGCTCTCACCAAGAAAGCATAAATAGGCATTGAATTCATCCAACCCAATGAGACCTACAAGCTCCGATAGTCTATCACAGTGACTTCGTCTTCTGGGGCATCCAGGTCTTGATAACTGCACCACCAAAATGAGTAAATGTTTAGCAAACAAGAAAAATGATCTTCATTCGTCAGTTGGAACTCATTCTTTGGTTACATGGAAATCCTTCACAATATTATTGCTAATCTAAAGAACTTCATTATGGCTATATTTCAAAAAACTTTAATCAAATTTTCAAGGAATAAAAGAAACTTACTTAAAAATGAAGTTTCCTTTCAAATAAAAAATAAAAAGAACAGAAAAAACTAAACAAGGGATGAATAACTTGAGTACCGAAGACAAGCGTTTTTAGACAAAGTACAAGAATTGGGTTGCATATTGAGGTCTAAAAATCCACCCATATGATTTGGGGTTCCTGTTGAACAATTACCTTCGCATCCGTCGAGGATCAGGTCTAAAGGTTGGAGGAACAGCAATTATAGGAGCTGGTCCACCCATATGAGGACCAGATCGCATCTTCCTTGCTGAGCCATCATACGACGAAGGTCCTCCTTGTTCCCTTAGCATCTGCATTGCAACTTCTGGTGGTGCAGGGACAAAGGGTCCCAAAGGCCTGTAGGGTTGCAAATTATATAAGCACCAACAAAATTTCAATTAAAGCAATATAGTGGATCAGATTCAGAAGAGAAACCAACCCTGCGCCAGGTACCGGCATCAAAACTGGTGGGGGAGGGGGCATATCTGAGGTAAATGGAGGTACACCAGGCCCTCCATATGCATCATACATTGCTTCATCATGGGATGGAGAATTGTCTCCATTCAATCTGTCACTCCTGTCCTGGTCTCGTCGGTTACCCCGATCATCTTTCAATCGACCTTCCAAACCCAAACCTAACCTTCGCTTTAGAGGCTTATCCTTCTACAAACAGAACAAAAAAGGACTGAGCATTTGTATATCAAACCATACCAACATTGTAAAAAAATACATATCTATTTTAAAGCCATAAATTCCTAACAGTTGATACATCAGGCTACTTGCCCCATAGACAGCAGCACACATGCACAGGGAAATGAAAGAAAAAATAAATAAATAAATGGCTGATTCCACAAGCAGTACAGTACAGACCCCATCCACAATGTTGCTAAAACAGATAAACAACTACCAAAACCTGGACGCCAATATGTTTCCAAAACATGCATCATGCAACAATAAAGATTATCCTTGTTTTGTTTTTTGGGTGTACAATAAAGATGATTCTATCTAGTCACGAATCATCATTAAATATTTTTCTTGTGCATGGTAAATAAAATAACTAATCTACCTGAGATTGCTGCATGACAGGTGTTCCACCGGGAGCATTAGTATCACTACAATGATATAAAGGCAGTATAAGTGACACATCCACCAAAACCGGCAATACCATACACAACATAAAAGAAGTCCTAATTAATACTTACTTCATGTAGTTTTGAAAATAAAGATCCTCACGCAATTTTGATGTTAGTTCCATCACAAGCTCTGGGTGTTTTAGCTTCAAATGTTTGTATACAAATTCAGCTGCATGAAAAAGCTTTGTGCAGCCCTTAGCTCCACAACCATACTTCCAGCCATATTTTTCATCCCTAATTTTTCTTACATATGGATCCAACACATCAGCTGCTGCAGCATCTATCTTCTCCTTGGCAGCCATCACTTCCAATGGATCCTGACCATTCAACCTTGCCTGCCAAAATGAATCCAGTTTCTTCTCCCATTCAGACCCGGATTTGTTTATTTCTTCATGCCCTGCTCCTTCTGGCCTCACATGCCTAAAACCCTTGGCCTCATTAGTCTCGATCATTCCATAATAATCAACACCATGAATCCTCCAAAGATATGTAATAAGAGTGTCTAGTAGCTCAAGACCCTCTAAGCCCTTAACAGATGTTAAACCCCGGACAATTATTATGGGGCCCACAGATCCACTGTGAGCCTTATCATCATTTTTATTGTGGTCACTGGTGCATAAAAAATTATCTTCAATACCCTTTTCCATGTCAAGCTTTTGAACAACAGCCTGAGCCTGTTGAATGTCTGCTTGTATGCGTCTAGGTTCAGAACTGATAGGGTGAGCCTTCGGTGCAGCTGAGAAATCATTATCTTTATTAGGTCCCCTACCATGTCTTCTTCGTTTAGTGCCAGCATCTGTTTCTTCCTCTGAATTAGGCTCACTGACTTGCCCTGATTTACTGGATGAAGAGTTCATACCAGGATTTCTGCATTGATTGAAAAATTCTCAGTACAAACAATATTGAGAGCATAAGGAGGAAGAACAGGCAAACACAGACACACTGAGAATGTAAGAACATACAGGTCTAGTGTTCCACTTTGCAAATCAAGCAAAAAATCCTTTGCAAGCCGTCGAGCATTTTCATTCCTCCTAAAAGATGATGTGTCAGAGAGAATCAATTACAATTATATATCTTAATCAAAATATTAACTTATCAGCCCATCTAACAACCACCCAAGTAAAAATACTAGTATATGATCCGTCAACATAAAGAGGATGCTCCACAATGTTCTTCATTAGACTGCAAGATCTGCAAAACTCACCTTTCAATTACTGCAAGTAAATTTGTTGGATGATATTTATCTTTTAACCTACATCAAAGATAAATCAAATAAAGGAATGATCAAAAGATTGCATGTACTTGAAACAAGATGATAACCCAAGAATCAAATAAAATTTTAGCAGTGGAAAAAGGAAACCCATACCACTCCTCATCCTTATGAGCATTAAAATAAGCACGTTTTTGAGTAGAAATGTACTCTGATTTGTACTCTTGATACCTAGAAAAATAAATTAAGCATATGTTTTGTCAACAAGTACCCAATAAATTATTCTGTATTTAGAGCTTAGGAACAATGAAATGGATATTGTTTTCCAAAACTTACCTACGCTCAGCTTCAGCTGGCAGTACATCATCTTCAAGCTCCTGAATGAATTGTTTATAAGACATCAACCCTTCTCTGAAATAATTCACAAGCATCTCAATGTTAACAGACTTCTCTCCAAAAAAACATTGTCAAAAACAGAAAAATAAAGGCAATATACATCCCATGTATCAGCAAAAACCTAAACAACATTTTTGGGGGAAAGATGCCTTAATTGTGGTCACCCCTCTTTGGGGGCTGCCTGAGTCACAACTTTAAGGGTGGTGGTTTAATCCCATATGGACTCGAGATATGGTTGAGTAATTTTACAAGCCAAATTTGTGAGGTCAAGTTGACCTAAACCTAAATTCCAAGAATTTTTTAACATGAAACCTCCATAACTACCCACCATCAAGAGAATAATAAGGAAGTTTACATACATGATAATTTAATACATTACTTTCTCTATTTACTGACAAAACCAAAAAATACACTTGGTATAGAAATTTCACAAAAGTTGAAGCATGCAGTAAGTTGGTAACAAGCACAACTTCAAAAGGTTGGGATCAACACAGAGTAGTAGGGAAGACAAGAATAACGAGCAGGGTGTTCCAACATCTAAAAGCTCTTCAGCAGTGGATGGTACACAGTTACAATGAGACTAAACAACATCCAGATTCCATTCTATGATTTAGTACATTTCCATAGTAACACAAAACAGGACAAGAGGTTAAAAAATGATACATTTGACTCCACAATAAAGGTTGGAAGGAAACCAGAAGAACAGTAGAAGACAGTACATTCCATTCCATTCTATCCATGTGCCAAACACTGGCTTTTAGTGGCATGCTGAAAATTCTACTATTAAAAGTAACAAGGACAGAGTCAATAAATAGATGGCATGCTGAAATTTCTTCTATTGGTTATTATTACAAAATAAACCTTCGACATGTACCAAAAATGGGTACTAAGTACTAACTCAATGACAACTTTAGGACAGAAACAAAAAAGAATTTGTTTGAAAAATATCTAAAATGCTCTTTAAACGAATAATGCACATTCACACAAAGTTCCAAACCAAATTATGCGCAGAAAAATAGTTAATTTTTTAATTAAATATTAACTGTCACTGTTTGCAGGCATAAGATAAGAAGCAATAAGAAGCAAAACTTTTCTCTTGTAGAATTCCTTCTTCGAAGTAGAAGTAAAGGACAAAATCTAAGTTTTTCAAACAACCTGATTTCTTCCAAAGAATGAGATGATGAGTTACTAATGGACCATAACTCCTAAGGAAAAGAAGAAAAAAAAGGGTAAACCTGAATAAGAATTTTAACAAGATGGGAGTAAAAAATTTAATCCATGATCAAAAGAGAGAACAATTTATTGTGGTTTAGGCATGTCTTATCTAGGGAATCCCTAATATGGGTAGTAGACAACTATAATCAATAAAATAGTGAGTATTAATAAAACAAAAAAATAATGATGTACAAGATATTGAAGAAATAGAGCACATGAAAAAGATCAACAAACTAACATTTTGTTGCAAACTTGTTTAAAATCTGCCATAATTTTTTTAATAGTAAAGCTCAGGGTAGATTACTACAAGAAGTACCACGGTACCAGATATGATGTACATAAGTAATTCTGTATTGTAAAGGTATTCTAAAAGAGAACTATCCATTAGAATTGCCTTTCAAGTTTCATCAATTATTGCACTATTCAATAATTCTTAATTGGATAAATTTATCTCAAATTTACCGTGTAAATAAAAGTTCTTATCACATATATCTATTGAAAACCTACATTAATTGTCATCGAATGTCTTATCTCTCATTTAAAGTAAATAATCAGATAGAAATAGATTAGCATGTAATTGCACAAACCCCTCCATATAACCCCCTTCGTACCGAGTTCGATTCCCCCTTCGTACCGAGTTTGATTCTCATGGATAAAAAAAACAGATTAGCATGTAATTAGGAAACTTTTTTCCTATGATAGAATCACCAGTTTTGTTATTTCCTTTTTTTATAGGGATTTGTCATTATGGAACCCTATTATTTTACTCCCTTTTTTTCCTATCAGAGTTATGTTATATTTTTCTTATTAAGTGTAAAAATATTACTTTACAAGTTTATATTAGAGCCTATCTTAGATCTAATAGCCCCAACCACCATATTATCAAACACATAAGCCCAATAGTGCTTTAGGGTGAAGGGGTGTGCTGGAAAAAACTGAAATTTCACAAAATAGTATATATAAGGAGGTGACAACTCTCACCTTTCATGTCAGTTTTATGAAGTTAAATTAGATTCAAATTTATCTTCTAAGATGGGTATTAAAACTAGGATAATAGATGGCCTCTATTATTTGAATCAAGGATCATATGGAAATAAAGTGATTCAAGGTCTTAGTGGCACAAGCTCCCCTCCCGTCCAAACTCCAAAGATAAATAATGCTTTGGCACCTTAGATTAGGGCATCCAAGTTTTCAGTATCTTAAACATCTATTCCCATCTCTATTTAACAATGTTGATTGTTCCTTTTTCTAATGTGAAAATCGTGTTCTTGCAAAAACTTCACTGCATTTCTTATAGTCCTAAATCATACCCTACTACCTAGAGACAAATACAAAGCAAGGCTAGTAGAAAAGGGGTTTATTCAAACCCATGGAATTAGCTATGAGGAAACTTTTGCTCAAGGAGCTAAAATCAATTCAATAAGAACTTTGTTGTCCCTTGTTAATTTTGACTGGACCCCTCACCAATTAGATGTCAAATGCTTACCTAAATCTGGAGTCGAAAGAAGTATTTATGAGTCCCCCACCTGGCTTTGATGGAAAATTGAAATTTGACCAAGTGTGCAAGTTAAACAAGTCTTTGTATGGCCTAAAACAATCCACAAGAGCATCGTTTTAAAGCTTTAGAACTACTTTAAGGGCCTTGGATACAGCCAAAACCATGCTGGTCATACTATGTTCTACAATCATGTGGTGAATAATAAAAAAAATTGATTGTATACGTTGCTGAAATTATTGTGACAGGGAATGAAAGTTTATCATTTAAATAAGAAACTGGCTGCTGCCTTTGAATTTAAAGAACTTGGTCCATTAAAGTATTTTCTTGGAATCAAGTTTGCTTGGTCAATGGAAGGAATCTTTATTAATCAAAAGTAGTATATCCAAGATTTGCTCATGGAATTTGGCTTATTGGTGGTGTAAGGCAGCTGAGACACCCATTGAGCAAAATATGAAGCTTGAATCAACTAAACCTGAGGAAGTATAGGACAGAGAAAGGTACCAAAGACTTGTTGGGGGAACAATCTATGTCTCCCATACTCACCCAGATATTGCATTTGCAGTTAGTATGGTGAGCCAGTTTATGTACTCACCCAGTAGTAGGCATTTTAAAGCAGTGGATAGAATTATGAGATACCTAAAAGGAAACCTGTGAAAAGGCCTATTATGCCAAAAAAAAAAACCCAGAACCATAGTGGTGAAAGCCTTTACAAATGCAAATTGGGCTGGTAGCAATTTGGATACAAGGTCTACATCAGGTTACTGCACCTTTACTGGAGGAAATTTAGCCATTTGGAGAAGTAAAAAACAAAGTGTAGTGGCTGGAAGTAGCGTGGAAGCAGAATATAGATCAATGGTGCAAGAGATTTGTGAAGTACTATGGATTAGTAAGCTGCTACAAGAACTGAAGATTCAAAATTCCATACCGGCAAGACTATACAGTGATAATCAGGCTGCAAGTCTATAGCTCACAGCTCGGTATTACATGATAGAACAGAAGTAGAGGTTGATAAACACTTTATTAAGGAGAAAAGGAGAAAGGGAAGATTTGCGTTCCCTACATTCCAATCAAATTCCAGGCAGTTGACATTCTCACCAAGGGGGTAGCCAAGAAACACTTTGATGAGATGATTGGCAAGCTGTCCAAATACAACATATTCAAGCCTGCTAGAGGGCGAGTGCTGAAAATCTACATTAATTTTTATTATTGTAAATAATCAAATAGAAATATTAGCATCTAACTAAGAAACTTTTATTTATTTTTTCCTTAAGATAGAATCAGCAGTTCTGTAATTTCCTTTTTTTGTAGGAATTTGTCATTATGGTACCCTATTATCTTGCTCCCTTTTTCTATAAGAGAAGTTGTATTGTATTTTACTTATTAAGTGCAAAATATTAATTTTCATGTAAATCATATCTACAAAATCATAATTTTATCCAAAGTTATTTAATAATCCATTGGTATACATCAAAATTGACATAATATATACTCTTAGAACATAAAAATAAAAAATCTATACTTATAGTTATTCAGTTTTGGCAAAATTTGACAAGTCAAGTTAATATATGTAGTTATAATTCAATAGTTAGAACAACAGAAATCACATTCTATATAAAGTTATTGAGAGTGTAAGAGATGATGTAATTTGTAGCAGTATAATTTGATCTCTCTACCCATCTATATTAATATATGTGTGTGATGAAAATTTCTAGAAAATATAATCAATGAAGGCATTTTGTTTACTTATGGCTGGGTTACCTCCTCTGACATGTCCACTCAGTGATTTTCTTTTAATTAGGACCCTGTCTAGATTGATTGTTTGAGCCTATTTGGATACAATCTATAAATGTTTTTGAAAGCCTCTATTGAAAATACATAGAGAAACTTTCAAAACCACTTCTAATCTTGAATCCAAACACGGTTTGTCCAAATATAGTTTTGTTTATAAGTTCATACTGAAAGTTGAAACAGCAGTCCTTGCAGAAACCCATCTTCATCAAGTACACGAGCAATGTGATAAAGCCTCAACCATCAAAGAAGACTCGGGGCCTGTTTGAAAGAAGTGGAAAAGAGAGAAATGGGAGGGAAAGCATACTACATATTGTAAGCTTTCCTCTCTTTACCACTTCTCCCAAAGAGACCCTTAGTGTTCTTAGACAACAATTGTTTCTGCTACTTTCCAGAAATTTACTGGTCATGACAAAATCGCGTCTTTCTAAAATTTCCTTTGGAAAAAGGTATCTCCTATTTGAACACCATTATACGTGCAGGTGATTTTAATCCAGTACTTCATTCTTTGCAGAGTGCATTTGAATCTGTACTTCAGATGCCTATTAATCACTAAAGAACTGAACTTCATCCTTTTAACACACATCAAATTCCTCTAATAATCACATCTCACAAACTGCTAAACAAATAGTAGCAGAGATCTGGTTTTGGCCTTATACAATCAAGGCTGCAAGGTGTATCTTCAATTGAAGCTGCCAACTTGGTGTAAAGCAAACAGTTAATCTCTGATGATATAAAAATCCTCAACAGCATAAACCTATAAACCTCATGTTTCAATCCTGCAATGTTATAAGAGTATATCGGCTCCTATGCCATAATTCCTTTCTCAATTACCACACCATACAGAATTGCTTGTAGATGTTGAACATGAAATAAATGAAAAAAGGCAAGTACATTTATTCATTCATGGTTTAAATTAAAGAATAAAGTACAAAGCTGACCTTTGTCCACCTCCACTTGGTAAATCTGCATAACCGCGACTTATATCCACATCTGCAAAATGAGCCCACAACATAACATAATGACAGTAAGCTAACTTCATCTGGGGAAAAAACAAAGGTTTACACACTTGACAGCATAAAGGAGTTGATCTCAAACAAACCTTTTAAAAGAACAATGGACAATAATATTAGATTTACACAAACATAAAAAATAGAAATTTACCAATAAAACAAAATTAAGAAAGCAAAAAGCTACACATGAAATATATACCTAAAAACAAACACCAAGCAAGAACTCCCCTCCCAATAGAGAAGGAAAAAAAACTCTAATTTTATTCAAATAAAGAATAGGGCAATATTCATTTAAGAATGTAGGGCATATGAAAGAAAGCGTACCCCCTAAAGTAACTGATAAAAAACAAGGAGAAATAATTCATGTTTTAAATAGAAAATTTCCAGCTCTTAAGCTGCATGCATCAGCTAATGTTTGACAGTAGCATTAAAAGAACACCGAAGAGACCAATGAGAAACATAAAATACGTAATGAATTATAGAATATTGATATTTATATTTGTTGTAATGAAAACAACAATCGCATTGTATGCTCTAAGCATAACATTGTCAATTTAACTCCCATCACAAGCAACAATAAGCAATGCAGAAAACATGGCATATAATAGTCTGGAAAGAAAACTATATTATCATATTTGTCACTCCCGGATAGCGGAGCAGCTGACCGCAAAAGTGGATAGTGAGACAACCACTATTCTAATATTATATATATATATATATATAAAATAATTAATAATTTAATAATATATCTATAAGCTAAAAAATACAAAAATTCAAATTTCTTGCATTAATCATTTTCAATAATAGAAGTTCATAGTACTTCAACAAAACAAATAAAAAGTCAAAGAGACAAGGTGCTTAAAGCTTTAAATCATCTAAAGTTAAAGTCTGAAGTAATTAAAGTACTAAGTAACTAAAAAAGCAAACATTAAAATTCAATCTTCACCCTGCTATGGTGTACCAGTACGAGCAGCACCAGAGCTCTGATTTTTTTGTTGATCAACATTTGGTTGGGCCATGGTTCTGCTGGCCACCAAATAACAAAACCATACAAGTAATAAAAATGATCAAAATAACAAAAATTGCTGCTGCCAGCAATAAAGAGAAAAAAGGAAAAGAAATAAATAATAAGAAAAAGGAACAAAAACAAAATAAAGGAAATAAAAAATAAGAAAAGAAGGGAACAGAAAAAGAGGGGAAAAACTCTCATTAAGTGGAGGTATTTTTTATTTTTTGGAAACCACTCCGCAGTTTTGTGCCTGCTTCTGCCACTCCAGTGAAATGCTATCAGGTTACTGTAGTGGCAAGGAGCCGCTCCACCGCAATAGCGGCCACTATTAACAGCATAGATTATTATGTGTAGATATATTTCAGTATGCAAAGTGGAATGTGTTCAGTTTAACTTAGCTCAATTAAAGAATGAAACTGGAATAAGGCAAAAGATAAATGTCATTTACACTATGTAAGAAAAACCCAGAGTTATTAACAATTATAAACATACCAGAAATTCCATTATGATATCCCCCAGCAGATCTATGTGCAAGCCTGCCATAAGACTTCTCATCTGCATAACCAGTCCTTCCACCCACACCCCGTTCATAACCACCAAAATAATCATAGCCAAATCTGCTTTAATCACATTCAAATAATGAAGTAAATTAATTAAAAAAATTACAGCATAATGTATGATGCATAGCCTAGGGTGATAAGGATGTAAAACAGCAAAACTCAAATGCAAGAGAAAATTCTATCCTACTAACATAAATCCTATAAGAAATTTCAATAACCACATGATAGCATTAATATAACATCACATCACTCTGTGAACATATACCATCCATCTTTGAGTATTCATGCTACGATCTGTGGAATTGTTAAGAAATTAGAAAATACATAAGTTTGAAATAACACAGTTCCATAAATACAAGTAGTTGAATAAAACTGCAGAAGAGATACAAATTTGTTTTCACAACATCTGTGACATATTTTGAAGCATTCACAATCACAAAAAGTCAAAAAGAAAACAAACCATTTAAGCAAAATTTGAATAAATCCGCGATTCTCACAAGGCATTTTTATTTATCTCAACATGATTGGATATATGATTCATAAGAACCATAACTAAAACAGCATAGTAAAAAATAGAGTAAAATACATAAAAATATCTGAAGGGTATAACAAAACAGGAAAACCCCTAAACATCAGGCCAAGGGGGGAAGGAAAGGGAAAGAAAAGGCAACAACAACAAAACATAAGTAATGCATGCAACACTTTTCCACCTGGACCCTAATAAATAAACAGCAAAGGCGACCTATCACACCATAGGCCATGTAAAGCTCTTGAAAACAGGAATTGATTCTCTTTTCCTTGTTTTCATAGCAATCCACAATATAACCGCATTATGCTAATAGAAAATATTTTTTTTACAGTGATTTGCAAAATTCATGATGTCAGAACAGTCTAACACCCATCAAGACTTCAGAAATCGTCATCTTTTATTTCATTTCATAAACAGAGATTCCGATAAAAGAAGAACTTCATGATACACACACAAAAGAAATCCTGGCAGAAGGGAAGGAAACTGAAAACAACCCAGAATAAAAACCGAAATCCAATGAAGCAAAGCTGCTCAATCCTTCAACAAGTTTAACCCCATCAAATGCTCTAGGCTCATTAAACACCAAATGCCTAACCCTATCCTAAAATCAAATGCCCCGCTAAAGGAACCTAACCCCAACCTCCTTGAAAATTATAGAGTCCACTCCCTGTCCAACCAAATGCAATTGAAGAAAACAGATACATAATCAAAATAACAACCAACCATCCCAATGTCTCAATCTACGATTTCCACCACAAAACGAAACACAACACCGTAGCTCAAAATCCTAAATCAAAACCAACAGCACGAACACACGAGTGACATGACCCAATTCACAAACACAAATTTCAACATCCCATCCATCTCAGCCACAAAGGAATCACCTGTCATCGGGTCCGTAGCCGCGAGGACTGCCCCTCCGAGATCGTTTGTACGGCGGAGGCGAACGGCGCGACGGAGGCGGCGGAGAGTAGCGGCGGTCGCGGTAGCCCGGGCTAGGGCTGCGGCGGCGCTTGAAGTCCCTCTCGCGGTCGTAGTAATCGCTCCCGCGGCCGCGATTCGGGTGGCGGTCGAGGTCGCGGTCGTCCCGGCGGTCCCGGCGGCGCGGCGGAGGCGGAAGCGGCGGCGCAGGGAGATCGTCGTCGGGCGGAGCAGCGTCGGGAGGAGGAGCGGCGGAGGCGGAGGGAGACTGGTCGAGAGATTCGGGCGGCACGTTGATGACTTCGGCGGCCATGGGAAGGGGTAAAATTGTAAAATGGATTTGGCTGAGGGAAAGAGAGGAGGGAGACTGGTCGAGAGATTCGGGCGGCACGTTGATGACTTCGGCGGCCATGGGAAGGGGTAAAATTGTAAAATGGATTTGGCTGAGGGAGAGAGAGTTAAACCCTAATCTAATAAATAGAAAAGAGAGGAATGGGGAAAGAAGATAAACAAGTGGTTGAGGTTTTGAGCGTGTTCGTTATTTCTGTGAATTTATTTACTTTTGTTGGGAACCAGATTCAGATGAGTGTGGTTTTAAGTTTTTAACTTTTTTTATTTCATTTTATGGGACGAGAGGATGCTGCGAATTCCTCCCTCCAAGAGGGATCAAATTGGGATAACTTTTGCAGCGTCTTATTTATGTCTATGCTCGCCAAACCACTCCTCTCTCCTTCACCTTCTTCATTATCTAAATTTTTTCATTATTTATAGGAAAACTTATAAAAATGCCACCAAAATCAAATCTATTTCTCTCTCTCTCCTAACTATCAAAATCTCATCTCAAGTTCATTATTAAGCTAATTTGGTGGTTATTACATGACTATTTATACAATAGAATGAGTTAATCACCTATATAATATTAATGTAAAAAAATTTTATACCGACAACCAATTATATCTTTTAATTGTGTCATATTACTATAAACACATTTACTTTTAAAAGTAACATGACATAATTAAAATATATAATTGGTTATCAGTGTAAAAAAGACTTTGCACTGACAGTGTATAGGTGATTAACTCTTACACAATTATGTAGAGGGAATACTCCTTTCGATAATTTTTTTAGTTTTTATTTTTTAAAAAAATCACATTATTTATCTTTTTTAAGTATTAAAGTTTCACTAATTACATGTCAATTTTTTAAAATTAATTATTTTTTATCTTTCACAATGAATAACTATGGGTCATTGCTTTTTTTCACGTAAGTACTATATTTTTTATGTACAACATATATTAAAATATAAAATATCTAGATCCTATCAATTTACAATAACGAAAAAATTCAATTTATTTCCTATAAAATAAGCCATTTTTTATTTTGGTTTTTGTAAAAAAAATTCATTTTTTTATCCAAATCATATATTTATTTATTTGATAATAAAAGTGAGAGAATGACAAGTAGCCAAAATGATTTTTAAATTAAAAAATAATATTTTGAGTAAATTAGTTAAGATAAAAAAAATTATAAACTAATTCAATTAATTTATGAAATTTGTCTCATTAGATCTATTTAGGTAAAAACTATTTAACACAACTTATACTCAAACAAATAAATCATAAGTATAATGAAAAGGGCATGAAAATAAGTTTAAACAAAAAAATAATTAAATATTTTTTTGTGTGATAAAGAAGTTTAACTCATCGACAACAATTGAACTCCGATTCTTAATTTAAAAATATAAATGTCAAATCATTTAAACTATGAATTTTTATACAATTAACAGAATTTAAGTTTAATTATGTTTTTTAATCAGCTTGAAATGAGTAATATTTGATTTGGTTTCTATAACTTTTTTGTTTTTCATCTTTTTAAATTTATAAATATTGTTTTTAATTTTTGTAAAATGAGTAAATTTTAATTTTGTTTTATGTAAAGTATTTTTTTAAATTTTTATTCTTCTAGAATTTAAGCTTATTATTTAATTCCTATCAATCATTAAAAGGTGAATAAATAAATTTTACTCTAATGATCTAATTTTTTTACAAATATCAAACACGGACGTAATATCATGATTATGTAACCCTTTAATAAGTAAAAATAATAATTAAAAAGATCATATAAAAAATAATAACTAAAAATAATAGTTTTAAATTTTAAAAAATAAAAAATAAAAGAAATTTTTTATAAAAATTAAAAATAAAACTTGTTAATTTTGAAGAAACTAAAAATATATATTTAAACCAAAAATTTATTTTTCACACAATTTCCATTATACTTATGATTCTTTTGATTCAAATTTTCTTTTTCGTCCCTGGAGTATCTACCGCCGATAGCAGTGACTAATCTCTTCGCTACGTTGGAGGCACCTCAAAGGGTGGGATAACTGGCACCAAGATTTAACGCGACTGCATACACAAGGCAGGATTCGAACCCCCGACACACGCATGGGATTTTCTTTTGATTCAAATATCAACTGAATTTAAAAATTTTCATATAAATAAATTTAATAAAATAAATTTTATTTATTAAACTAGTCAAAAAATAATTCAAATTATGCCCAAATTTTAAAAAATATGAATATTTTAAAAGACCAAAATCGCCTCAAATTTAAAAAATAAAGTACTAAATAAACCTTTTTTAAAAAAAACTAAATTAAATCTTAAAAATATAAAAGACAAAAAGGATCATTTAACATGCAATTTATAAACCCCCAACACTTAAAAGCTCTTCTTAAAATAAATATAAAAAAAAAAAAAAAAAAACGAAAGTTTTAAATTTTTCGCTAGTCCAAGATCAAATTTACCCGATACAAAATCAGCTTCATTCACCGCGAATCTAAAATACCCCGTATATCGAAGAAAATTAATTTTGCAGAGTAACCTTCGCTTATTAACCTAAGACTTGAAGTCTATATAATACGGAATTGGACACGACATGGATATGAACACAGGATACAGCAAAATCAAAATGCATAAAATACGTGGTGAATATATATATATATATATGATATATAATATGAATAATGACAAATATATATATATATATATATATATATATATATATATTGATATCTCTTACTAAATCTAAAAAACAAGTTATTGAAAGGCACCATAGTTTACAACAAAAAATCTTTGTTAGTCTCTGATTTTGTTACATAAATAATAAGTAAGGAAAGATAAGTATGACTCCCCTTCTTTTTTCTTTTTTTTTGCTTTTATCAAAATGTTTTCTTCTTTATATAAAAAAAAAAATATTGTTTCTATTTTTATTGAGATTTTTTTTTTAAACGAGGCACTTTAATCACAAATCTTAATTTTTTTAATATTTTAATTTAAATTGTTGACGACTGAATTTATGAACTGCATTCTAGGGTGTCTATATACATTTCACGGGATGTAGAACCACAAAGTTATTTGTTAGCACTGAGGGTCTGAACCTATCCCTTCACAGGCAAATGGCTTGAATGAGAATTGCAGTATTTCAGAAAAAGTATTGGAAAAGAATCACTCGGCTTCAAGGGCAGCAATTTCATATCTGACTTCTTCTAAGTGTTCGTTTATGGCCATGACAGCATCCTGGACACCTCTAATGGCTTCCTTTAGAGCATTGTCATACTCAGCATCTGCTTCTGCCTCTTCAGTCCCAGAAGCTTCAGTAATCTCCTGAACATGTACGCACTCATGCTCTGTTGGCTTTGTATATTTGCAATTCTCATGGCTCACCAGACGTTCCGATGGCCGACCAGCTTTCTTTAACACCTGAATGGTGGCAGTCTTCAAACCATAGTAGTTTTCAGCATTTGAATGAATGACAATATAATTATTTGGGTTGAAAGAAACATAATAGTGCAAACTAAATCTAAAAGAATAAGGAGTTTTAGTCACCAAGGCAATAAAGAATAATAACTAATTCATATTTGTAATTATACAATCTGTGCAAAATTTTCAAAGGGTAAGCAACCATTTTTTATAGGCCAAAACTATTGCATCGCTTTTATAGGATGTATCTAGTAATAAAGTCATTTTTATAAACGTGGAAGGAACAAAAATGGGGGCCATACAACCATATATTTTAAAGTAACATGATCACTTAAAAAACTAATGAAATGTATTTTAATCTTGACTATTCATGATAAGATTTACTGGTCAATATTTATTTCTTTCATTCTCATATAAAAAAGACTCACTAGATATATCCCTTATAAAAATATGAATAACACACATACACAAGTATATATGTATAGAACTAATGAGTGCTGAGTAGAATCAGTAGCAGATAAAACACTTGCTAGAAGGAATTGGATTATGAGCAACTGATGCATTGCATTTTGTTCCACATTTTGCACATTTAATTCATATAGTCCTGCATACACTTCCAGTTAATGGGGATTAATTTTATCCTTATTTTCTTTAATTTTGTCATTTGGAATTGGAACTATGATGTGCATTTTTATCTGTTCCTTTAAATTGTAGGGATGTTTATCATTTGGAAGATTGGCATTGGAGACTTATAAGTGGAAGTTGAAGTGTATGTTTAAAATCAAATAAAAAATGTGAATCCACACTCTCTCTTCACATCCAACAGAAGAAACAAAGAGTAGCTCTTCCACAAATTAATGTGATTCTAACTTGGATGTGGTTCCTAGATGTGCATCCAAACATGCCTAAAATGATTTGAATCAAAGGAAGGACAATTGGAATTTTGTTAGAGCTTGTATGTGCAAAAGGAGAGATCACAAGCATCTAGACTTAGAAGGAAAATGATGAATTTCCACACAAGAGGACACCATGGTCAGATCATGGCAAATTCCATGGGCTTTGGTAACCATCATGAGACTATTTTGATTTTTGACTACCAGTCCCAGAAAGCACCGTCCAGACTCCAGACTGTGGCACTACACTGATGCAAATTTTCTTATTTCTCTGCTTTTATTTTGATTGGGCTTGGACCTTTTTGTAACCCTAAGGATCAAATACCTCTAAGGCTCAGGAAAAAGGTTCCGAACCTGGTGTATTGGTGGCATAGAGCAAGAGCCTGGATTATCTTATCTTCTCACTCCGGGTTTGATTTATGATCTTTTATTACTCTTGGTTTTGTTCCTATGAATATGTGCGAGTAATCATCTTATTCTAGGATTGGGACCTAGCCCTCAACTATTATTGATGTTTAATTGAATTATCTTTATATTCTTGTTGGGTTTCTCTTCTTGGTGTCTTTCCTATTAAATTAGTCTATGAGACGCTTAATTACTGTTTTCCATAAATTTAGAGTTTTAGGGAAGAACTAAAAGGCAAATCTAATTGTTGAAACTATAGGGAAGGAACTTAGGCATTGAACCCTTGAAAGTAGGTTTGATCCTTTGAGGATTCAATGGATTACCAAATAACTTAACAAGTTTATTTAGACATAAGTATAACTACTACAAAAGTAGAAGTTATATCAATTAGATACCTCTTCATATCTCGAAAGAGAACAGAAGGTACCTAAAGTTAATTCACCTCAAATAGAACTAATAAGAATATTAAAGTAAAAAAGATCTGGTGAGTAAGGAGCTATACTATTCATAAACTAAAGCAGATACCTACCAGATTCAGTTTCTGCTTTTCCTGATCCTGAACAGATCTAAGGAGCTGTGCTAGATCCACTCGGCAGTAATCAGGGCTCCTAAACAATGACTCCATCTCAAGGACCTATGCTAAATCAGAAAAAGGAAAGCAAAAAAGTTAAACAAATGCAGTAAAATTAAACAAAAACAAAAAAAACAAAAAAAGGATAATGTTGGAATCATGTGTCAAACTTTTTTCGAGCAATCATTAAACTCTATTGTGATTTCACTGCAAAGCTGCTTATAAGCTAATTCCCCTCCAGAAGCCATGTAATCAGAAAACCCCCTGCCAAGTTAGATATCCAACTAAGTGTCAATTTATAATGTAATAAATGTTAGGAAACACTTCACGGACAAATTCCTATGTATTAAACAATTCATGAAAAAGCAACATTGACACCCTGAGCTTTGAATTTTCATGATAGAATAAGGCCCACATGTAGCATAGCATCACTTCTTTTAATACATGCATCTCAAAGCTAAAATAAAATTAGTTTCCAGAGTTTAATTTTCTTGTCATGTTAGTGTAATTAGAAATGAGAAATGATATTTATAAAACAACTTGTACAACTCCATCATATCATATATTGCATTAATTAACGATGGAAAGAGATAGATACAAATGTTGTATAAATTATCTTACTTACGGGTATGATCACTAGTTAGAAATCACTCCATATATGATTTTTATGACTTCAATAATGATTATTTCAAGTCAACAATCTTATCATAATCTTATCATTCATGATGCTATATGATTGAATGACGGTATAAATAAACTCTTACACTACCGTATATATTTCTAAATAAATTTTTAGTTTTCATATAGAAAAAAAAAAATGGTGAAAAAAAAAAAAATAATACCTAAGATTTGGGAATTTTACTTGTATTACCGGTCTTTAAATTTAATTACATGGGAATCCTCTTCTATCAGCAAATAAACAAGTAAACAAAATAAAACAGTAACTATCATTTTGGTCCATCTCCCTGGATCAATCTCATTCTCAAACATGAACCCTAAATTATAGCAATCACTAACATCAATTTTTTTGCAAAAACCAAAGAAAGGCATGGAAGTAATTAACCTTTTGAGCTTGGAATACGCTTCGGCTCTGCGTTGCTGGATTCCGAGGAAAGCGCGAAGCAGAAGAAGGACTTTGGTTGGATCAACCTCCATCGTCTCCTTTATCGAAACCTTGTTCTCGAAATCAAAATCTTCTTCCATCGCTCGCTGCCACTCTTCACGTTTCCTCACTCATCTCATTTTCTTCTTTACAGCGACACTTTTATACAACCCACTTATGTCGTTTTCTCTTGCACAAAACGACTTCGTTTCTTAAAGGGGTTTTTTGAAAAATAATAAGTTATTTAAAAATAATAATCCCATATAAAATCAAATCTATATATAAAACACCTCAATCTTACACGATAGAGTTTTTATAATTTTTTTAATTTCATAACTAATTCAATTTTTATTTAAGAGAAATTATATTCATATCTCTTAGAGTTTGTCTAAATAACACAAATTATTCCGTTAGTTTTTTAAAAATAAAATTTCTCTCGATTTTAAATTTTTTTAATCTCAGTTAAATTATAAATAAAACTAAAAAATTATCCAAGTAAAAAATAATAAATATTTAATATATATGATTTTTTTCTTTCCATCATTAAGAGGTTTTCTCTTTGCTACTATTTCTTCCTTTTAGTGACTTTAACTAAGTTATTATTTTTTTTTTAATTTATACAAATAAAAATATAGCTTTATAAATATTGCATAATTATTCTTTTAGTGATTATGATATTTGATAGAGGAACATGTCATTGAGATAACAAAATCCATCCTTAATTAATAAATATAGAGTTATTTAAATTTTTTAAACTTAATTGTTGATCAATATCATTGATAAACAATAAATAATATTTTTTTTATATTCGTAATATATCATAATGGATTGAAGTCAAAAACATATTATGATAAAACCACAACCATGACTCTAACAAGAAGCCATTTATTTGATACCATCACTTCAGTGGAATATAAATATTCACAAACATAAATGTTAGCCTGTTCTTTTTTTTTCTTTTATTTCATATATCCAATTATTTTCGCATGCTTTTTTAAGGTAACTTATTGGTATGAATTATTTATGGTATAAAGTAATGATTAATCTCGATGAAAAATTATTTTTATTTATTTATTTTTTACATAGTTTCAACCGTAACAAAGATTTTTTTTTTTACAAACCTTAGTAGAGAGTTTATCTTACTAAAAGAATTTCTTTATTTTTAAATTTAAGTTTGATTTTAATTATCTAAAACTCTCATTAATTATTTTCATCTAAATATTTAAAGATTTATTATGAATTTTAAATATAAAGTAATTTTAAAATAAAATTTTAACAAAAATTTGATAAAATTTGAAGAATTTTTCACCTAAAGTAGTGTAACGAGTAATAGTATAATTTAAACGTTGATTTAATATTTAATAATATTTTAATACTATCAATTTATATGTTAAATGTTAATTATATATAATTAAAATTATATATATATATATATATATATATATTATGTTTGAATTATAGTAATAAATAAAAGGAGCAATTGTTATAATTTTATTAAGATTTGTCAAAATGACATTGATCTCTCTTTTATTTTTATTAGTTGATATTTACCTCTCTTATTTTATATTTTAGCTTTCATATACCACTCATTTTCATGATGTTAGTTTATGTATATGTTAAAACTTATTCTTTTTTATTATTTAAACTTTTCCTATAGATAAAAAAGTGTACGTGGTCATTAGTACTGGTTTATGACTTTTGTTTAGATAAATGTTCTTCATAGATATCCTTAGAAGAAAAATAAGAAAATGAAATGTGTTTACTTATAAATTAAAATTAACTTGTGCATAAATTAAAAATAAGATTTTAAAGAAATTAATAACAGAAATTTTTACAGATTAATATATGTATAAATTAATTTTATCTGGCAAAGAAGTTTATTTATTTATTTTCTCTTAAAATGCCTTAAAAAATGCTTCACAGTTAATATAAAGAGTAAAATGAAAACAAGATATAAACATCAATTCTGAGCTAAACTCCTTGAAGTAGGACCTGAGACCTCTCACTAACAATAATTATATCATGTTTTGATTTTACTATTGATATGATTTTGCTGTTCATGAGTGTAGGTTAATAATTTACAGACATACATCATCGACAAATACGAGTTAGATTCAGATTAATTTAAACACACGTGTTAATCATATCAAATGGTTAAAAATTAATTTATCTAAAGTTACTAGCAACAGAAGGAGAAGAAAATAAGCAATTAAATTGTGACATGATTTCGAAAGAAGAGAAACATATAACAGTAATTTCTCAACTATATATGACATTTGCTGCTGTTGCTCTGATGGTTAGTATCTAGCATACATGTTGAGATCCTGTCCGGTACGAGCATATCATTTCAAATACCACAAATTTTGTCTTCACAATGTTATTATTATCATTATCATGATAAGATATGAGTTAATCACTTATATATTGTCAGTGTAAATTTTTTTACACAAACAACTAATTATATCTTTTAATTATATCATGTTACTGTTAAAAATAAATATATTTACAGTGACATGACACAATTAAAAGATATAATTAGTTGTCTTTACACTAACAATATATAAGTGATTAACTCATAAAATATTACCCAACCATTTCAAAATTAATCAAGTGCTTACTAATACTATAAAAACATTAAAAGAAAGAAAGGAATTAACAAGTCATAGAAGTGAAAAAGTAATTTACACTATAGAGATTCAAAAATTTGAGGCGAAAAGATAAAACTGTGTTTTAAAATTATTAAAACTTAGCTTTTTTAAGTGTATAATGATACTATTACAAAGAAATAGAGTAGAAAAATAATGACAAAATAATTTAGAAAAAAATGGAAGGATAAAATACCTAAGAAAATATAGAAATAATTCAAAAGTATAAAATATTATATAAATAAATTATTAAAACTAACAAATTTAGAATGAAATTCATAATTTCAATTGTACGGGTGCCTCTCAATTAAGAAGGGTATTGTAGAATTTTTCTTATATATATATATATATATATTAATAGTAAACAAATAATATATATATATATATATTTAAACATTATATAACGTATAATGTATTAATTGAATAATAAATTAAATGAAAATATATTATAAATATGTAAAATGAGTTAAACACACATAAGTAAAATAGTCATATTATATATCAATTTTTAAATATTTTATTATAAATAATCTTTGATATGCATTGCTTGCGTATGAGATGACCTTAATTGTATATGAAATAAAATATATAGCTTTTTAGTTAAAATTGAATAAATAATAATTTTAAAATGTTAAAAACATAAGTAGGACGAGATAAAATTGATCTTAATGACATTTTTATTAGAACGTTTATTTTATGGAAAACGTGTTTTTTTATTATTTAAACGTACAAAAAATAAATTTTACAATGGTTTTTCTTGCTACTTCTACTTGCAAATATTTTAACAGAGAATAGCATCTCAAACATGACACTGATATTATTATGTCATTAGAACTCCTATTAAAGTCCAAGCCACCAAATTACAGAGCAAAACCTTTTCCAAAATTTAGTGTGGAAAGTTTACACATTAAACACTAAATCGTAATCATTCATTTATAGAAGATTACATTTGGCTATCTTTAAAAAAATAAGAAGCTAAATGGAATCGTGCTTCAATTTATGAATATTTAGTTGATGGTTCATGTTTTCCAATATCCTTTGCTTCTTTCAACGATACATTAATTTTTAATCCTCACTTCACTTCAAACTAAAATTATAAATTCCATCCAGCTCACTACAGTGACATTATAAATTATCTATATTAAAGTTTCTTCAAAAGAAAACCGAAAAAGACATAGCAAAAGCAATGGAAAGTGACCATTAAGCATCTTTTTGAACGTTTGTCCTCTAAAGACAAAACAGAGAATTTCCACTTTACCACTTCATAAGTGGTCGTTAACTAACACCAATGATGAATGTGTCTATCGGGACCCAACCTACATTTAGGATTACTACATAAGCATATTAAGAAGCTTTGGACCCTAACATGTTGCAAGGCAACCATTATTCTTCCACAGTAACCCAAATATTTTATAGATTTGTAAACTATACAAACTGTTCGAGATCTTGGTATTAAGGTCATTTAGTAAGAAGCACAGAAGCACATATAATGGTCTCTTTCATGGTCGGACATTTAATAAAGCAATTAAGGCTAATACCTAAGTTCTCAAACTTATAAAATCTCTAAATCTTTTTTAATAATAGTATTATTAATATAAATTTTTTAAAAAAATTAATAATATTTGAGATAAGACCCAATATTTTATAAGACACATATCTTATATTTTTTATATCTCTTATTTTCTTATTATTAAAATTACTTCAAAGACCACAACCTATTTATTAGTTTTTGTAAATGAAAAGTCACTTAATATCCAACCGTCGCTACTACTTACTTTTGTCTTTTACAGATGATAGATTTTCAACCTCTTTGTTTCCTCTCTAGTTTATCTCTTTCTCATTCTCTCTCCATTCTCATTCTTAACTCTTTCTTTCTTGATTCATTCCTACTCTGTCAAAATCAAGGAGTACAAAAAAGATTGCTGGATAGAGCATATTATACTCCTTGCAGTTGTCATAATTTGAATTTAATTCTAGGTGATATGGCAAATTCATGTACTAGAGCTGTTTCTTTTTTTGGAGTTTTGCAACGTATTTAATTCTTTATTTGCTTCTTCTACCAAATGGTGGAAAATCTTACAAGAAAATGTATAAGTTTTCAGTTAAATCACTATCTTAAACAAGATGAGAATATAAAATTAAAAGTGTTAAAAAGCCATAAAGTTTCAAGTACAAAAAATAAGAGATGCATTTGTTCAATTATCAAAAATTAGTGAAGATCCTAAGATAAAGAGTGAAGTCATGTGTTTAGCGACTTATGAGATGAAGAATTTTGAATTTTTATTGGGAATGAATATTTGGTATGATATATTTTTTGCAGTTAATTCTGTAAGTAAGATCATGCGATCTAAAGATATGCATATAGATGTTGCTATAGATCACTTAAGAGACCTTATAACTTATTTAAAAAATTATAGGGAAAATGGTTTTGCATCTTCATTAGAATCCACCAAAGAAATGATATTGAAATGGATATAGAACCTAAGTTCAATAAAAAAAAAGGTCATATTCATTGGAAAAAAAAATATTTTGATGACATTGATAGTAATGAGATAGCTCATTCTGCTGAAGATTTTCTCGCATTAATTATTTTTTGTATATATTAAATCAATCTTCTATTGAGAGTCGATTGGAATAATTTTTATAATATAAAAACATGTTTGATTTTTTATTTGATTCAAATAAATTTAAAACTTTAGGGGAAGATGAGTTGAAAAAAATATTGTATCAATCTTGAAAAGATTTTGAGTTTTAAGGACCATTCTGATATTGATGGTCTTGATTAATTTTCAGAATTAAATTTATTGAAAGAAATTCTAACAAATTAAATAATATCCAACCGTCGCTACTACTTACTTTTGTCTTTTACAGATGATAGATTTTCAACCTCTTTGTTTCCTCTCTAGTTTATCTCTTTCTCATTCTCTCTCCATTCTCATTCTTAACTCTTTCTTTCTTGATTCATTCCTACTCTGTCAAAATCAAGGAGTACAAAAAAGATTGCTGGATAGAGCATATTATACTCCTTGCAGTTGTCATAATTTGAATTTAATTCTAGGTGATATGGCAAATTCATGTACTAGAGCTGTTTCTTTTTTTGGAGTTTTGCAACGTATTTAATTCTTTATTTGCTTCTTCTACCAAATGGTGGAAAATCTTACAAGAAAATGTATAAGTTTTCAGTTAAATCACTATCTTAAACAAGATGAGAATATAAAATTAAAAGTGTTAAAAAGCCATAAAGTTTCAAGTACAAAAAATAAGAGATGCATTTGTTCAATTATCAAAAATTAGTGAAGATCCTAAGATAAAGAGTGAAGTCATGTGTTTAGCGACTTATGAGATGAAGAATTTTGAATTTTTATTGGGAATGAATATTTGGTATGATATATTTTTTGCAGTTAATTCTGTAAGTAAGATCATGCGATCTAAAGATATGCATATAGATGTTGCTATAGATCACTTAAGAGACCTTATAACTTATTTAAAAAATTATAGGGAAAATGGTTTTGCATCTTCATTAGAATCCACCAAAGAAATGATATTGAAATGGATATAGAACCTAAGTTCAATAAAAAAAAAGGTCATATTCATTGGAAAAAAAAATATTTTGATGACATTGATAGTAATGAGATAGCTCATTCTGCTGAAGATTTTCTCGCATTAATTATTTTTTGTATATATTAAATCAATCTTCTATTGAGAGTCGATTGGAATAATTTTTATAATATAAAAACATGTTTGATTTTTTATTTGATTCAAATAAATTTAAAACTTTAGGGGAAGATGAGTTGAAAAAAATATTGTATCAATCTTGAAAAGATTTTGAGTTTTAAGGACCATTCTGATATTGATGGTCTTGATTAATTTTCAGAATTAAATTTATTGAAAGAAATTCTAACAAATTAAATTAACACATCATTAAAAATATTGAACTATATAAAAAAATCATGTTCTTTTCTAAATATATGCATTGCTTATAGAATATTATTAATATTACCTGTACTGTTGTGACTGTTAAAAGAAATTTTTCAAAATTAAAATTGATTAAATCATATTTAAGATCAACTATGTTACAAGATACTTTGAATGAGTTAGCTATATTATCTATTGAGAGTGAGATGTTAGAATTACTTAATTATAAAACTTTAATAAATAATTTTGAAACTCAAAAAACTAAAAAAATAACATAAAAATTATTAAGCTATATTAACATAGACTCTTGTCTTAATTTTTATCTAAAGCCACAAAATTCTTAGAGACAGCCCTATCTATCATTGCCATTCAATGAGTAAAGAAACTATAAAAGACAAATTGTGGTAAATCCTGAAATAAAAAACTCTCCAGTCATAAGGAAAAGAAAAAAAAAATACTTTGCCCCTTATTTATTGGTACATTATCATACCAGCACTGTTACTACTGATATAATCACAAAAATAAATCTTCAGGACTTACTGACTAGAGGAAAATTTCTTATACAGACAGTCAGCCCAGAACCAATTAATTATTTTAAACTTTTAGCAGGAATTCTTATTACAAAGGTCCTGGCTGATTGCAAAAATAAAGGATGCAACTATATAATTTCAACGGGATGAATACTGCAGAGAAGCATGTCAAAATGCAATAGATCTAACCTATTAATATATGACCAAGTAATTGACACTATAACACTTGATATAAGTATTAAATCAGCACTCAAATTAGACTATCACTTGCTACACTACTTTAGGTGAAGAATTCTTGTTCATTAGCCTGTAATCAACTTGCAAGTTAATGTCATCAAATATAAAGAAAAAGTACATGAATGAAGACTTCAAGCATTACATAGAATGAAGAATATAAAATACAGAGCTTAAAAATTCATAAAAATTCAAGAATCAAACTGTTCCTTCCAGAACCAAAATATATTAATGGCAACAAAGAACTCTTATTAGCTATGATATTTTTTGTTTCTTTCCTTAGTGGAGACAAGAATGGAATACATATAAGATTAGTTGTTTCCAAGAATCAAAAAGTAATCTTAGAAAATAATCATTAAACTGATAAATTTGGAATATTACTGTTACGCCGAGCCCTTCCTCTTCCTACAATCAAGTGAACTGGCTCTAATGCTCAACAAATGCATGACTAAGGTATCACCATGTTATAGATTTGCTACTCCCAAATCATTAGTCAACAACTGAGTGTAGCTAATTTGATATAGTATTTTGCAAATCATCTGAGCTAGTGGATGAGATAGGTCCCTTTGGTTGAATATGGGTTCTTCTAGCAATATTGATCCAGCTACAAGCAGGACTTTTAACCAAACCTAAGTCCCTCATTTTTGCTTTAACAGTTGACAAGCTATCGACCATACCAAGAGATTGATAGATACTACACAGAGCTACGTAGTTGCTAGCATTATTTGGTTCTAATTGGAAAAGCCGATTAGCTGCAATTTCTCCAATTTCAACATTCTTGTGCATTACACAACCAGCTAGAAGGGCACCCCACATGCTTCCTGTCACTGATGATTTCATTCTTTCCAACAACTGGAGTGCTTCCACAAGATACCCGCAGCGGCTCAGAAGATCCACCATACAAGCATAATGCTCAGCAGTAGGCTCAAATCCATAGTCTGAACGAATTGAGCTAAAAATGTGCTTGCCTTGATCTATTAGACCCGAGCGGCTACAACTGGCCAAGATTGCAGTGAGTGTGATAGAATTCGGCCTAAACCCTTCATCTACCATCTTCCTAAACAATAAAAGAGATTCCTCCCCCTTTCCATGTGCCCCATAACAAGATATCATGGTGGTCCATGTGACTAGATTCATGCAGCGCATAGTCCTGAAAACCTTTTCCGAATCATTCAAGCATCCACACTTGCTATATACATCAATCAATGCATTCCCAATGGAAGAATCTGTGTCAAAACCAAAGCTTCTCACTACATACCCATGAACTTCTCTCACTTTCAACAAGTCTCCTTCCTTTCCACAAACATTCAAAACACTAGGAAGAGTCATGAAATCCACCCTCATCATCCCATTCAAACTTAACATCTCCCTAAAGCAACGCATAGCATCTGAATGCAAGCCGGCTCTTCCAAACCCCAAGATCATCAAATTCCACGTCACAGAATCCCTACAAAACATGTTGGAAAACACATAACAAGCCTGGGGCATAGCCCCATACTTAACATAAAACTCAAGCAAAGAATTTGCCACAACAACATATCCTTCATACCCAAGCCTTATAACCAAACCATGACCCATGCTTCCGATGCAAGCATCATCTACTCCTACAGAAGCCTTGAACAACGGGGGCAGGGTATAATGATCAGGCCTAAGGCCGCAGCGCTTGAACTCGCGAAAAACCATCAAGACATCAGAAAACATGCAATTCTGGGCATAGGAGGCAATCATGATGTTCCATGAATACATGTTATTTCTGTCGAGAATTTTATCAAACACTTTGCGAGCTTCATGGAGAAGGCCAAGTTTAGAGTACACTAACAAGAGGTCAGTTTGGAGAATGGTGTTGGGAAGCAAACCTTGGACGAAACTTTGGGCATGGCATTGCAAAGCTGTGGAATGTGCCACACAATTTCGAAGCAGGAAGGACAACCTTTTCCTAGTTTCCAATGAGGTGCAATTCATGGTGTAAATTATTGGGTTATACAAAATGTACAAAATACAAATACAATGGTAATGATTCTACTATTGCATAATCAAACTGTAACATTATGAAGGCTACAATACAATATCGCTGTAATATTTTGTGTCATGGTACTTCTCAAATTGTAATATTACAGTTTGGACTAGCTGTCACAATCTTAACGATAATTTGAAAGTTCGAAACTCAAAGTGTACCTGTCTGAGGGCACACTCCTGTTCTTCCTGGTGAAAGGGGACCGAATAAGAGCTCCAATGATGTCTTCAAAAGTGGGGGAGGTACCTGCAAAAGGTACTCCGACGCTCAAGTTAGTATATGCACGAGTATCTAGGTTAAAAATGAACAGTGACATACCTTGTTACGTGTGACCTATTTATAGCATCTGACATGGGCCTGAGCGTGATGGGCCCTATCAGATGTTTACCAAATTAGGTAATACGGTACTAATTGGTCGTTTAGGCTTTAATCATGTACTTACCTTTCTTGACTGTGATTACTTGTTATGACTCGCCTAACCCTTCGGCAAGAGGCCGAGCCGTCTAATCAATACTAGTCGGAGCGGCAAATGACCGAACCGTCCAGTCCGTACACGGCAGCCTGTATACTTCCGGTATGTTATATGTCGGCACGGCACCTGACCGAGCCGACTCGATGAATGATGATGGTCCATATTTGCATTAACCAGACTGATGTACGTTGGTGATGATGCTTGTACGTGGCTATGCATGGGTGTCTGACGAAATGGCACATGTTGGTCAACGTGACCGATAGGGACCTTCCGGTACACAAAGTAATATTAGCCAATTGGTTTCATTTTGATTCATGCACACAAAATAATCAATCTTATTTTAAAAGAAATAGAAATTTCATGTTTGTACTCAACGGCTACATTGGATGGCCCTTTCACAAATTCACAATCCCCACCCAAAAAAACAACTAGCGGCAAATCACTTGTAAAAAGTCAGAAGAAGATACTTAGGGGGGTGTATTGGTTTAGGATTTCGTAGAATTTTAAAAGACTTTTTTTTGAGTAAAAAAGTCCATTGGTATTTAATCAGGATTTTATGTTTAAAAACAATCCAGTGGTATTCAATATGGATTTTCAAGATTTTTTAAAGAGTCCATTAAAATCCACCGGTATTCATTTGAGATTTTTTACAACTTAAAAACATATCCTTCCCGATTTGCACAAACCATCAATAAGTGAATTATAAGTTATTGTACCAGGAATCATATTTTTGCGTTGCATGTCTTCAAAAAGATTGATGGCTTCATCTATCATTTTCTTCTTACATAATCCATCAATCATGATATTATAGCTATAAACATCATGTGCCACTCCTATTTGGGACATAGAGTTGAATACATGCTTTGCTTTTTTCACTTCATTAACTGTGCGATATCCGTCCATTAATGTATTATAAGTAATAACATCAGGTTCCACATCTGTTTTTACCATTGCAGCTATCAAAATTTTAGCTTCTTTTATGTTTCCTTCCTTACATGACGCATCAACCAATATGTTGAAGGTAACAATATCTGGGTTGATGTTTTTCAATTTCATTCCATTTAACAATGTAATTGCTTCTTTGAAATGACCCATAACACAAAAGCCATACATTAAACTACTGAAAGTGACAACATTCGGAGAAATCTTTTTGACAAGCATTTCAGAATACAAATTACAGGCATCAGCAACAAGTTTATTTTTGCATAAGCTGTCGATGATTGTGCTGTACATTACCACATTAGGTTTAATTGAATGCCCTTCAATCCTTTTGAGCAACTGTATGGCAGCCTTTGTTTCTCCTGATTTACAAAGACCATTGATCAAAGTCCCATAACTAACATGGTTCAACTGAAATCCTTGAGCTAAAGCGTCATCATGAAAGTGCAGTGCTTTCCTAAGCTGACCACAAAAACATAAACCTTTGATGAGTGTTGTGAGGGTTATTGCATCTGGCTTATATCCCATTTTGAGAATTTTGGCAAACACAGAAAAGGCAAAATTGATGTGACCGAGGTGGCAGAAGCAATTGATGAGGATGCTCAATGTAACAAGGTCTGGTGTAATTGCTTTGAATTCCAATTGTTTAGAGAGGGAAATAGCAGTTGGGTAATGCTTCATCTTGACAAGGGATCCTAAAATGTGGCCAAAATGGAAGATGGGCGGGGAAGGATGCATATCGAGCATGCGATTGAATGAGGCAACGGCATTGTCGTGATTAAGAGGCTGAGATTGGGAATGGAGGTTTGCATTTTGATAAGAAGGAAGAAACCTTCGAAAAATAGAGATAAAGGGTAAAAACCTGGATCTTAATATTAACAAAGACATTGCTACTCAAATCTGTTACTGCACCAAAAAGTAAGTACAAAAACAAAATAAGAAATTTTGCTGTAATTAGAAGAAACTTTGGAAAGAGAGAGATAGAGAGATCATTAACAAGATTCCAAACATCAGTTATCCTTCCCGATTTGCACAAACCATCAATAAGTGAATTATAAGTTATTGTACCAGGAATCATATTTTTGCGTTGCATGTCTTCAAAAAGATTGATGGCTTCATCTATCATTTTCTTCTTACATAATCCATCAATCATGATATTATAGCTATAAACATCATGTGCCACTCCTATTTGGGACATAGAGTTGAATACATGCTTTGCTTTTTTCACTTCATTAACTGTGCGATATCCGTCCATTAATGTATTATAAGTAATAACATCAGGTTCCACATCTGTTTTTACCATTGCAGCTATCAAAATTTTAGCTTCTTTTATGTTTCCTTCCTTACATGACGCATCAACCAATATGTTGAAGGTAACAATATCTGGGTTGATGTTTTTCAATTTCATTCCATTTAACAATGTAATTGCTTCTTTGAAATGACCCATAACACAAAAGCCATACATTAAACTACTGAAAGTGACAACATTCGGAGAAATCTTTTTGACAAGCATTTCAGAATACAAATTACAGGCATCAGCAACAAGTTTATTTTTGCATAAGCTGTAGATCGGAATCAATAAAATATACAGATTAAAATATTAATATTATATAAAATAAATATTACATTTTGTATCCACTTGTTTTTTTTTTTGAAGCATTTGTATCCACTTGTTAAGACAGTTTTATTGTATTCTTTTCATCCGTTTCAAATAAAATTAAAAAAAAAAAAAAAAAAATTCTCCAATATATTTTTAACATCATGTTTGTTTAGGATGATATAGGAGGTAGAGATTTAGGAAGGGAGGATTTAGGAGAGAAATTAAATATTTCATTTACAGATTATCTTAATATTATTAAATTTAATATAGTTTATAATTTTTTTTCACTGCTTTTTTATAGGGATAATTATGTCATTATACATGTTAAATTCAAATTTTTATCATTAATTATATATATATATATATATATATATAAATTATTAGCATTTAATAAATTTAATTACACTAATTAAATACAGAAATAACTTTTATTGATTGTTTGCAATATGATGCATTTCTCGTATCCGCATGTATAATTTCACATTTTTTTTCATCTGCTAAAAAGTCCTCCTCCGTTCCCAAGGCAGCTCACCTCTCCAACATCCACATTCATGACTTCCACCTCCCCTCTTCCCCTTCCCCTCCCCCTCACCCCAACACAAGGTTCCCCTCCCACCTTCTCCCTTCCTTCCAAGCCTCCACCACCCTCCGCCAACCCTTCTTCTCCCTCTTGCAGTCCCTCTCTTCCGTTTCCAAGAGGGTCCTCGTCATCCACCTCCCCAACTGCGAAACCTACACCTTCCACAGTGTCTCTGCCTTCACCATGTTCTTCTACTTCTGGGACCAGGGAAAAAAAATATGTGTGTATATATATATAGCATATCTCGTTATCACATCCTCTTGATTCACGTATACCATCAAATGTGTTCTGTTTTAGAAAGTGGAATTCACCCGGAATACACTTGAAAATAAATTAATAAATAAGCACAATTTTTTAGTAGAAACCATGTGAAAAATATTGTATCACGTCCATTGCTCACATGAGAAATGCAACTGCTAATGCAATACATTGCAAAACCCAGTCACGAAGTCAATAAGAACATCTAGATGGAAAAATGACTACACAAGTGCTTTTAATAAAATTGACACATGCATATTAAATAATCTATTTTCGCTTGGTATGAATCCATATTTCCAAATAAAAAATAAATACAATTTGTCCCTTAATTATTGTATAACGTTATAGATTGTAAACCATGCACATCTTACTTTAGTACTTAGTAGGTATAATTTGAGGTAAATTCTCTGACGGACCATTTAAAGAAGTGGTGCA